GCATTTAGTTCATATATACGGCCACGGCTTCTATGAGTCAAGTCGTATGCTAATGAGAAAAAATGTAAACAATGACGTCAGCAAAGATTCGCCTATACTCGCCGAGTAGTTCAAGGCCCGATTAACCTAACCTAGGATTAGCGAGAATTTTGATTTCAGTTTTGCAACTTTTCGGTGAGGTCTTTTGTTTATATTGTTTGTCCTTCAGTTTTGAGCCAGAGTAATTTCAAACTACACAAAACTTAAGCAGTCAAAAACATTTTTATACAAGAAAAATTAAAACTTCGGTTAACTTTAAATCCTAGGTTAGTCACCCGTCTTTCGAACAATCCGGCGCATTTTTGTTGATGCTTAACGGCCGATGCGTTGATCAAACACGCTCCGCTGCTTTTTCGCGGTCCAGACCGATCATCACCACTCTGGACAGCGTTTCGATCGAGTCAGTGTGGACGACAGGCACAAACGCGTCAACGAAACCACATTAACCGACGTGAACGTTTTGCTTTGCGTTTCGCTAAACTAACTAAAAACTGTGCACGTTCGAATCCTGGTCCGGTTCGAGGAACCAGTCATATCGTTTACTTCTAGTTGACCGGACGGGTAAGAAAATCTCCCAGTAGTACTTACGTGACGAGCAGTACAGGCCAGTGAACTCGCCGAGACAGTTACATGTGTAGGCAGATGATACATTTGCTAAGTTTGGAACGCACGTGCCGCCATTTTGGCATGGTTGTGAAATACATACATCCTGACCTGTCGAGGAAATAATTTTGAAACCGTTTTACAAGGCAATACAACTTGTTTAGCGGATAAGGTTGGGGAATGCTACAGCCGGTGTCTGCCCAATTGTTAAACAGTTCAAGAATGTGGGCAAACATATCTTACATACAGCCATGATGATATTAAAGACATTAAAAGGAAAAATATAATTTACAGTAAATAAGGGATATAAATTCTGGGACCTTGGCTACCACTGGGATGAAAGATAAAGAATMAAGACGGAATCAACCAGAAGTACGAGTAACGAGTGGACAAAACCCTAGTATCAAGATTATTTACATCGTATTGCAAACTTCTGCACGACTGTTTTAAATATCTTCTAAAAAAGAATCATTTCTAGCAACGCCAAACGTCGAAAACGAATGTTGAACTTTATATGAAACACTGATGATGATGAAATTTTGCCTGTGTTTGCACAAGTTCTCTGAACTTTGAAATTTATTTTCTCTCGTTCCCAT